CATTTCCAGAGATCTATAAGAAAAATCATTTGAGACGTGTTTCACACTGTTCGCAGAATCCAGAAACTTCTTCAGTTGAAATGCGATTCAAAGATTTGTTGGGCTTTGTCCGATTTGCTTTTAACTTATTTTCAAAGCTCTACTTAGGAACTTAAAGAATACTTGCTTCAGCGATTTGGGAAATTCCACCCGCAACAGTGGAAAATTGGCGGAAAACGTTTATATGAAACTTTTTTGTTTACCGTCCGATCAGTGTCAAAATCATTTTTAAAGATTTTCGGGAAAATTTATTTTATACATGCCACGGGCAAGACCCGCTATATATATATATATATATATATATATATATATAGAGAGAGAGAGAGAGATATACTTAATACAACGTTCTTCTCACTTTGATGCCTTTTTACAGGGTACAAAAAAAGCGCCCACTTAATATGGGTTGAGCGTATTTGAGGTTCTGTCAGTTGAGCTGAAAGTGGCTACTTGACCACCTTAGCTAGTTGCTAAACGAGCTGTTCGCCCACCTGTCCGAATGTGAACGGATAATTCCAGGTGTTTATGCCAGTGGCTAACCCTTAAGCACACGGCAAATAGCCCATTCAAGAATGCTTGGACAGCCACAACCCTTGAAAAAGCTGACAGGGCGCACTTCAACAACACACTTCAGCCAATTAGCAAAGTGAGGAGCTGCAGGTGGAGGTGAAGGTGGAGGTGAAGGGCGCGTAGGGACGGATGAGGCAATAATTGTTGAAACAATGCGAGACGGAAAGATGCTAATAGAAAATGCAAACAACATATTAAACAATTAAACGGAAATTAACACAAAATATATATATTCACACATTTGGCTAATTGCAAAGGAGAGAGCGGGAGAGAGGGAGAGCAGGAGAGAGGGCGAGAGGGAGAGATAGTAGCTGGGGCCACTTCATTAATAAAGGAGAGTCGAGTTCGTAAAACAGGAAAAGCGAAGCGGAAATGAGTGCTGCAGCCAAATGAATGCACGAAAATATAGGTTTAGATAACGCCAAGCAGCCAACAAGGAGCTGAGCATCTAATGAAGCACCAGTAGCAGGTGGAGCCAAACGGAAATTTGGGGGCAGCACTGGCAAGGGGGCAAGTTGGCAGCAGCAGCAGGAGGCAACTTAAATATGCAAGACAGCGCACGGCTGGGCGCCAAATGTGCCACTCCTGGGCATGCCCAGCTAGCAGCTAGCAGCTCCCAGTCGCCGTAGCCAACCCCCCGGCTGTGGCAGCTGTGGCAGGCGTGGCAGGCGTCGACTGCGTGTCGTCTCGGCGTCTTTGGCGTAAAACATAAACTTGCAACACTTTTACCTCGGCATCAACGTGCGGAACGAACGCCCGGAAAGCAGGCGAAAACAAAAGCCAAGGAAATTGATTTTATGCAACGGCCAGAAGCTATCCCTGCAAGGATCTGCCGGACGAGAGACACACAGACAGACACACAGACAGACAGTATGCTAAAACCACAAGAAAAATGGTGTCTCTGCTGTAGAACAACGGCAAAAGTGACATAAATAAAAGCCGTGACTATAAATCTAACCCATAAGCAGTTAAAGAGTCAGCCCCAAGATGCGGCACGTAGGATTCCTCCTTCCATCAAAAAACCTAAAAGCAAAGAAAAAAAAAAAGGCTCAGCCCCAACCCTTAGCTGGCAACGAATACCGCAAAATGCAGATAAATATGTAAATAGATACAACTTGGATTATGTTTCGACAACAAAAGTGAAAAGTATTTTACACTTGATGTACAAAAAAAAAAATAAAATAATATAAGAACGAGAAAGCACACCGTAGATTTAATACCCTTGCCGGCAGTTGCCTGACATTTTTGCAGATATTTGATAAAAGCCAGAATAGTTTGCCAGCTATATGATATAGTTTTCCGATGTTGATTGGATTTTGTATATATAGAGACATGTTCGCATAGAAACCGATCTGGAATATATATACTGTATGGGCTCAGAGATGTCTTTCTTCCGTTCGTTACATATTGTATGAAAAAATTATAATACCCTCTACAAAAGTATGGAGTACGCAACATAAAAAGGCGCCACAGGAACGAGTATTTCTCAGCGAACTTTTGATTCGTGTGGCGAGGCAATGATATGTGTAAGTATTCACATAAAGTATGAATACGAAACAAAGTATTCAAAGCTCAGACGGACAAGGGAAGCACAGGAAACGTTGATAGAAGGGCCCAATCGGGTTGGGATACAATATTTCTGGAACCTAAAAAGAAGCAAGCACTTAAAAAGCTGGGAAAAAAAGCTTAAATCAAGTTTTAACATAACATGAGCACAAGTCTTTATTCCAATTTTTACGCTTTTTACCAGATTTTAATTAAAGAATTCGATTTGAAATCCTAAAATATCTTTGTTTTATTTTAAACAAGAAGAAGAAGATTACCCGGCGTTGCACGGTCAAATAAATAATTTCGAGCATTGAAATGACAGCAAAATGATTTAAGTAGTTGCCACTAAATTCTAAAATGAAAACTGTAAGTACAGTGAAAACTCTCCGAACGAGCACGTCTTTTAGGCGAACAGCCTTCTTGAGCGGACCCTTTCTCTTAAGCCTTGATCAGGTCATATCATTCCCCCCGTATTTGGCGAACACTTCTCTTGAGCGGACACAAATTGCCCGACTGTCGCAGAACAGAGTTTTCACTGTAGTTTGGCTTGCCCCAATATTCTCATCTGTTTTATACTTATTAACATTCAATTAAACATTACGTTGAATATTAAACTAAAATATTAAATATTATATATGCAATAACATAACTTTGCATTAAAAATCAATTTCTTTAGCTTGTCGCGTGGTTTGAACCGCCGTTTTTGCGCTTTTTGGTCCGACGCTCGGAAACCCAAGTCACAGAGGCTCTTTAACACCACTTAACGGTCGATTTTTTGGCGTAGATCAGTCTCAAGAAGAAGAAGGTCGCTTACCTTATGCTCTTAGTTGCTCGCCCGACTTTAGATTTGATTTACTTGAGAGCGATAAACGATTTATAAAGAGTTGACAGTTGAGTTTCTTGGCCAGCTTAAAGATGACTTGATGACTTGCCTGAGCTGACATTGTCAGGCTGTTGTTTAACCCGATGCCGCAAAAGCCCCTGCCACCTAATTCTTTTGGTCCTGCTACGTGGTCGCACTTTTTGTCACGCTCTACTTGGCCACACTCCGGCGCCGAGTCATTGTCAGTTCGAAGCTGAACCCAGACACATTGTAAACACCGTCAATATCAACAGTCTATTAAAATGCCAGTCGAGGCATTGCGTACCAAGCCGTGCGACCTTATCACAGGGAAATGCGCCAATTCTCGTAACCTGTACCAAAAAACCAAACCCAACCACCCTGCCAAAATGTTTCCTAGCCAAACGCTTTTTCTACTTTCTTTCCTTTCCTTTTTTTTTATTTTGTTTTCTGTTTGTTGTTGTTTCCGATGTTTTCAGTTGTTGTTGCCTTAACATGCGTTTTAATGTGACCCTTGCGGGCTCATAAAATTTCAACGTTTCTTTGATGGTTTTACCCGTAGTCCACCTTTCCCTGGCTACCTTTTTTCCCTTTTTTTCTGTTGCTTTTATTTTGATGCTGTTGTTTTTCTGTAAGCTTCGATTGATTTTGATACGGCAAATGAACAACAAACAACATGGAGCATGAGATTGGTGGTAGATTTGGATTCGAACCGGGAAAGGGCCACAGGTAGTTGTTGGCCTTGGCATGCGGCCTGCTGCCGCTCTGGAATGTAGGCTTGCAGGATTTTGTGCTTAGACTGGAATTGGTTGCACATAATGCCTTTACTATTAGCAATTAAAATGGGTTGGGCATAAACTTATCTAAGGAGCTCTACTGGGCTTTGGCTTGAGGCTTGACAAATATGCAAGTCCCAGGAACTAGTTATTATTCCCGTTATTAAATCAATCCCAAAGGACTTAGATATCAGGATGTGTGTGTAGGGATGGAGGGGCGGAGGCAATATTTTGTCTCTCACATGTTGAGCCTTGAAGAAACACCTGAGTTTTCAGCACAGAAATCAAGTCCTTTTACACGCTAGGACGGATATCTAGGTTGGATAATAGAGGGTTCGATTTTCTTAACATTAACTGTAAGCCAAACCGTAAACTTGTTTGAAAGTTTTCTTTAATTTCTGAGCTGTAAGTTATAAAGTAAAGCATTCTCGAGGAGAGCAAAGAAACAAGAAACTCAGCAACATTCGCTGACAAGCGCTGTTGATAAAGTTTGGCATGTTTTACCATGCACTTTAACATGAACTGCAACTTAAGCAAATATAAAAACAAGAAAGCACTTAGAATTTCAGGCATGCTGATGATTAAATATGGAAAATGTGGAAATATGGAGTTAAAGTTTTTTTTTTGAAAAAATATGCAAGTATTCACATTGAAATATTATTTGAAGTAAAATGGTTGTTATTTTAAAAACTGGATGTCCAAACGTAAGAAGAACCACAAGTTTGTCATACAAACACGTATTTGCCACCGTTTCATCCTGCAGAGCTATATGTTATTATATATTAGCTGTTAATACTGCTCATACATACATTCGTATGTATACTTTATGGGGCCTGTTACGAGGGTATAAAAATGTAGCATAAGCAAGCAGGAACAGGTACGACAGGTACATTTGCACAAATACATTATACGCTTTTTACTCATTTTTAATGGGTTCAGGGTATAAAAAGGAACTTAAGTCTGGCAAACGAAATGTTCCCGATCTCAGTATACTAAGCGGACCGATCTTTGGTATGTGAATAAGTGAATAAATCGCCATGATTTATACCCGTTCGCACACATTATATTTTGACGACACCGCGTTAAATACAAAACAAAACACTTTGGGCCTTTGGGCCGTGCTACTCGATGAGAATTTGTGGGTTGCAACAACTAGATGTGGATCGTATGCTGCACTATATACACTATATATATATATGTATATATATACATATATAACTGGACGTCGGCTACTTCTGCTGTTTGCTGGCGGCAGTAACTGCGGCTACTTCGCTATCAACAGCAACAGATGTAACTGGCGGCCAGGTGTATTCATCATCGGTATCATCGGTGGGCTGCTTGTTGAGCCCAATTCGGGCCAATTCGAGCAGTTGGCCCGCATAGTTGGGCAACTGGCGCATCAATTGTATGCCCTCCTTAATACCGCGATCGTAATACTGACGCGCCCTCAGGCTCAGCTCGCTCTGGGCTGGCAGCTTGACCGGCAACAGTTGACGCATCGGCTCCAGGCCCTTGGCTAAGCGCTGATATAGTTGATCGGCCGTTTCTGTATTACCCCAAACACCGACCCGATTTGTAAAATAAATGGCCACCGTTATCGCAGCAGTGCGTGCCATCAATGTGCTGAACATTTTGGCCAACTTTATTAGCTAAAGAATATGACCTGATCGGAAAAATGAACACGTTTTTTTTTTTTAAATTTTTGGTAATTTTTCTTCTTTTTTTTTTGCTGTGCTTTAAGCGCACACGAAAAACGAAATATTAAAAATCAACTGACGAAAATTTCACAGGATATCAAAGGAGAACAAAAAACCAAGTGAGAATGCGAAACTTGTGCATATCCTGTGAACAGGCAATAACTAGCTTTTGTGGTTTGAGCCAGCGTTCTTTCTTATGGTTCAATTCGTGAGTCCGCCTCTTCACGTCTACAAAACTCACAAATCAAGTCCTACAATATTTTTAGCATGTACAAATACTAAGAAAATATTGAAACACGCCAGCTAGATACTAAAATATATCAAATTTATTGACAACTTCCAATATCTAAGGCTTAGTGGATAAGACATTTAGCTTGAATTCGGCTTTCCATATACTTATTACACATAAACTTTTACCTTTAAAACTACACTATCGCAACTTTATTCTATCATTGACTTTTACCCATTTTAGTTTTGGAGGGTATAACAAAATAAGTAATTCCACGTGCTTTGGGGTTAACCCCAGGTGGGTCTGATGGTCTGATCAAAAAAAAAAACCACAGTTCACACAAGAGTACGCAGTGCGTAAAGAGCAAAAGGAATGCGCTTTAATGTGCCAGCATTGTGGTCGAAAAGGGGTTACCGCAACGCCTCACGCCAGTCTGCCCAAAACAGACAAAATCCCCAACCAAATTCGAACAAAATTTATTAGATAACGAATGCTGAATGCGCTTACCAGCTGATTTATGAGTTCAGGTATTACAGGTTAATTGAGCAATACAACAGAAAATGAAACAAATCTGGCCAGAATTCAAACCATTCGCAGCCAACTTAGTGCTGCAATTTACAGTGTTGGTGCTGCCAGATCGTCGAGATCGAGTAGTTTGGCAATATTTTTGGATTTTTTTTTACTGTCGATCAAAATTTAGAAAACAGTGTATGTATTTAAATCATAAAACCGACCGTTGAAGTATTTTTGAAATAAATAATTGAATTTTTCAAAATGACCCACAAATCTTAAAAAATTATTTTATGAGATTGAACAATTTTGTTTTCTTTCATGCTCCTGTAAAGGATATTATAAATTTGTCATAAAATGTGTAACGCATAGAAGGAAACATTTCCGACATTTCCATAAAGTATAAATATTCTAGATCAGCCATCCACAGCCATTTTGATATATCCGTCAGTGCATATGTCGGACCCAGCCAGATCGGAAAACTATATCACATACCTCTCATAGGATCGACGATCAAAAAGATGGTTCTTCTTTAGAAAACTTTTATGTTTATCAAGATATATTGTTTAACTATCATGCTTAAATATGAGCCAAATAATATCAAGATCACAATACTATATTATATAGCAATAAGAGAAAAATCGATAAAAATATTTTGATTTCAAGATATTTCGCATTTCCCACATATAAACTAAGCCGTAAGGCAATTGACCACAAGGGTATTAATCTTCCCAACTTAAAATAATAAAAACTTTCCTCCTCTACGCGCTATGACAAACCGCGTGATATTTTGATAGTATGCACTGCGATGGGAAAGGGTATGAGAACCACTATCAAAGGCGGGTGCGAAAATAAAAAAAGGAAGCGGCAAAGAGTCACGTGAACCAATGGAGCAGCCAGCGAACCCAACAAGTGAGTAAAAATCTAATCCATTACTCAAACCCGCAAAAGCAAAAGTAATGGTCGGACCCAGCCGGAGAGGGATGTAGTTGTAGTTGGGGGCTTAGACGGGGTTTGCAGCAACCAAAAGCGGCGTAAATCTTTTGTAACGTTTTAGTGTCCCTTTTGTTGTTGGTTTTGGTTAGTTTCGTTGTTGGTCTGCAGATGAGCTCCAGAAAAAAAAAAAAACAAAGCAAAACAAAAAGAACCGAACGTTCAATTGAATGGCCCCGTGCTGGGGCCAGGCCGTGTCTGGTACGTGCGGCATATGTGGCACGTCGATGCGGAAACGGAAATAAAATTGCGATTCGACAGACCAGTTGAATGTCATTTTAGTCCGCAAACCGTAGCGAATCGCCGGTCAGCCCTTTTGTCCCGTGACACCAACTTTCCAATGTCCATGCCCAAAACCGAAAAGCAAGTCCATGATAACGTGCCCGAATCTGAGACGTGCAAATGTTTGCGGCCAACTCTGGCCACATCACGCTGAGTTCAAGTTCGAGTACGCTCTAGCGCCTCCGATTCAGGTTTGGGCCCATTTTAATTTTCACAACTTTTGACCCAAATTCATTTGTCAGATCGAGTGGCAAAAACCGATGTCATCCACCGGTGCAAAGTGCATATAAATAACTAATAGTGTGACCAGCTTGGGTGTCAAAGGTTAACTCTTTGTCTATCGTTGGGGGCGTATTCATGGGTGGCTCATAAACTGTCAGGCAAATGTGCCAAAATGAAGTTTGGCAACAATGCACGGTGCGTTAGCAGATTGAGTTACGTTCGTAACTAAACCAAACGCTGATAGCTACTAACTAAACTGTAGTAAAAGTGACATTGTTTGACAAACATGAACATTTACAGTGTTGCTAAAGGATGTGGCAAAAGTTCCTCTGAAGTTTGGCAACAGCGCAGCCATAAATTTGAACAGCTCCATGAACATGAGCAGCTGTGCGCAGTCTTTTATGTTGAGTATGTGTACTTTAAACTGTTGACTAAGGCACGATATTATTTGGATAATGAGTCTTCATGTGGTGAAGTTTGGCAACAAGGCGAGTGCTGCAAAGCTTGCTAGCTGACTAAAGGGGTTGTATGTATTGTCTTTACTATTGAAAACTTCAGACAATGAGATAATGTGAAGCCTAGTAACAATGTACGAAGGCGAAAAGCTAGATATTATGATAGCACGATCCTTACAAACATGATATACTTGCATATTTTACTTTTAAACGATAAGTTTTAGAACAATGTATGAACTCTTTATAAATTAATCTTGCACATTTACCCTATTAAAGAGCAATGTCTCGACATTTGCTTCTTCAAAAATAAGTTTGGCAACGCTGCTAAATGTGATGAAGTTTGGCAACAAGACAAACAGTGTTAAATGTGCTGAAACTTAACAACACTGCTATATGCAGTGAAGTTAGGCAACAGGGCAAGGAATGCTTGTAAATTAAATGGTTTTAAAACTAGCCAATAAAAATGCTGAAGGAAACTTTTTAAATGCATTCTACTAATGAGCTAATGTCAATTCAAAGCTCAGCTCGAGATTTACATACAGTTTAACAACACTGGCAAATGTTGTGAAGTTGGGCAACAGGCAAAATAATGCTTGTAAGCTGCAATAGTTTTAAATGTATTTCAACAATTGTTAATAGAACAGCTCAAGGAAACTTTTCACATTCATTATACTAATGAGCATTATGTCAATCCAATGCTCAACGCGAGATTTAAATACTTAAATAACAAGCTAAACACTGACAAATGTAGTGAAGTACGGCAACAGGGCAAAGAATGCTTGTAAATTAAATAGTTTTCAAACTATCGCAACATTTGCTAATAACATTGCTCAAGGAAACTTTTTACATTCATTCTACTAATGAGCTTTAAGTCATGCTAAAGCACAAATCTCTTTTGGTATGCATAAAAGCCGCAAATATTTTTGGCTGGCTGCCATTTAAGCCTTAATAGTCGGAAATTAAATCAAGATTTGCGTGCTACACAAAAACGGAAACAGAAAAAGTGAAATGCCAGCTCGCAAAAAAAAAAAAAAAAACAAAGGAAAAAAGGGAAATTGCAGCCGAGGTATTTGCATATTTGTCGCTGCTGTAGACCCTGGCCCGGCCCAGCCAGACGGACGGACACTGTCATTTTGACCATGAAAATGAAAATATGTTCGAGTTGTGCATAGCTCATACATTTTTTTTTGCGTATTTTTGTGGCGAGACTAAGAAAAATGTTGTGTGTGGATTTGTAAAAAGCGCAAGTGTAATTAGTGTGAGGCTTAACGGGGCTAAACAAACTGTCCGCGCGCGTGGGCCAAAACCCGAGGCCCGAGGCCCGAGACCCGAAACCCAGACACAGACCCAAACCCAATCGCAAAGAAACCCACAAAAGCGACCAGTTTCTACATGTGGGTTCTGCATGGATTTAGTTTGTCTTTTTTTGTACAACTATTGCCAAATTGCCATTTGAATAGTCGCGAGGCTTGCACTCTGTGGGTCGAGGGTCGAGGGTTCCCACCAACAGCTGATGACTGCTGCAACTGCTGCAACTGCCGCAACTGCTGCAACTGCCGCAACTGCTGCAACTGCAACTGCAACTGTCTCGCTGATAAATCGCTTGTGCATTATTTACGAGCGTTTTTCTTCATTTTTTTAGTTGTGTCGCTTTTGACGTGTGTATTTTATGCATGGTTACTTTTTATAGCCGGCACCCATGACGTATGCGTGATGTGGCGCTCCCAGCAGCCGCTGCCGCTGCCGCTGCCGCAGTCGCTGTCGCAGTCGCAGTCGAGGCAACTGTCTGCTGCTTGGACATTTGTTTAAGACGCCGTCAACAATTGTGAAACGGCCTTGGCAAAAAAAAAAAAAAACACAACTATTGTTGTAAATTATGAATGCATTTAAATTTCCAGTTTATGCGTGCGACAAGCTGCAGCCGCAGCGAAATGAAGGGAAAATAGGTACTTCAATATAATTTATGGCATGAGAAAGTTGTGGAAATTTTTCTGTGATTGTGTTTATAGCTGAATGCATAATATAGCCCGCTATAATTACAATTCGAAGACTTGTAGCTAGATCAGAGACCACTCAAGGGCCTAATCCTTAGTTTGAAACGAGAAAGTAAGCATATAGCTTTGAGACTGCTGATCCTGATCGAGAATATATATATTTTGTGAGGTCGGAGATGTCTCCTTCCTCATGACAAAAGTATAATACCCTCTACAAGGAATTAAAAACTATAAAAAAAGACTTTAACAAATAAATTTGTACAAAATATTTTCTGCCATTTAGAAAATTTAGATAAAACAAATACATTATTATTTTCTATTTGGCAAGAATTGTTCGCTATTTGG